ATTTATGTTCAATTATACTATAAAATATATTGAGATAAAATGTCGAGGCCGTAAAAAAGTTCAGAACCAGCTATATACAAATATTTTGGAAGAAGTCTCATATGTTTGAGGTATTAAGTTTGTCCTGCCAAAACGCTGTATAAATGTCGTATTGGGAAATTGCTCCACGCCCCTATCATGCGCGGGTACACACATAAACGAATACAGAGATGAATGCCCTTAGCATCACGTGGTGGCGCTATTCAACACAGTGAAGGGTTATTTTTAGCTGACAACCATCTTATTCTTTATTACTTTCTTATTTGTCTTGAGGGTTCGTATGTGTACAGAGGTCAACATGGACGATCTGATGACGATACACCACGAAATGGGACACATTCAGTACTACTTACAATATAAACACCTACCAATTGAGTTTCGTAGTGGCGCCAATGAGGGTTTCCACGAGGCTGTAGGCGAGGTCATTGCAATGTCTGCCGCTACCCCAGAACATCTTTACTCGATTGGTTTAATGACCGAACTTCCAGACGACTATGGTAAGTATATGTTTCAATATATTATATGACCACAACTGAAAAAAGTGGAAATGATTTTATTCTCTCGTTGAGTTAGTGAAACTGCCTTTTACAAAACTGAAAATATGTCTTGAACTCCAGCAAAATCAGACACGTCACACCAGTCAGTATAGTTACTACGACCATCAATATACTTCCAATACTGCACGTGATCTTTGTTCTTGCGGTACATTATCAAGACAATGACTGTCTCTGTGGGTGTTCCATGTATTTATAGCAAACACCAAAATTCAAGTTTGGAGTTACGGTGCTTGACGCAACGTTCATGCTTGTAAACTTATATAAACAATAGAAGCCTATCCTAAAACACGCATACACATTTATACCCTTACAATCCTTTGAACGTGATTGGCCAGTACAAATTCCAGGTGTGGTTGATGTATTCTAAGTCAAATAATGCACTCGTGTCTTGCCATCGTTGACATATTTTAATACGGTGACTATGTGAAAAACTGCACTAGTGCATCATTCTATACATAATTGACACTGAAAACTACTTCTCCCATTTTTTTTAATTCTAGAATCGGACATTAATTTTCTGATGAAGCAAGCTTTAACAATGGTTGCTACGTTACCATTTTCCATCGCGTTGGAAAAATGGCGCTGGGAAGTATTTCGAGGAAATATACCATACAACGAATGGACAAAGCAATGGTGGGAGATAAAGTACGTAATTGGTGTGTGATTATAATAAAATATAGGAAACGTGATAATAGCCACGTGTTCGCATTATGGATGTATGAATGTTAATGGATCCAAGAGAAAACTAATAATAATAATATATATATAGTGCATTTGACGTCAAGAATTTTTGGCGATATAAAGCATATGCAAATTTTCAACATTGTTTGATACAAACTTGTTATTATTGTTATTTGTGTGCTTTCGTTAGGAATAAATATGCTGGGGTTGTTGAGCCTGTTCGTCGAACTGAAGACGATTTTGAACCTGGGGCAATGTTTCACATTGCTAACGACTACTCGTTTCTAAGGTAACAGACAAACAAACAAACAAACTAGTGCAATTAGTGTATAATGTTGTAGAAGTGTGTTGACTAGATTATGACATATAACTGTAACGTTATTTCGTCATCTTGTCATAACAGACGCACTTACAGTAACTCCCCAATATTATAAAAAAAACATCAATATTTTCGTTATAAATACCAACGAATGATAAATATAGTTTTCGAATTCTATTAGTTGTATGCTCACATCGATACTTTTCTTAGCGTGGATGAAAGAGCAAGTATACCCTCTCACAGTACACACCCCAACCTCACATACGCTGATGTATTCAATGTTAATTACCAAGAACAAGTTGGAACCATGTCATCCACATACGTAAAACTATTGCAATGACACTATTTTTTAGATACTACACCCGGACTTTCATACAGTTCCAGTTCTATAAAGCCATGTGCGATGCCAAAGGATGGGACAAGGACATATTCAAGTGTGACTTTTACAATTCAACAAGTGCCGGCAAACTTTTAAGGTAATCATCCCTGTTACTGCACTAGAAGAAAACACGTTGTCTCATCATTTACGTGTTTTTATTTCTGATACCCATAATGTGAAATATTGTCAAATGCACTCACCACTTCAAAGTGCAGTTGCAGTCATAAGCTAGTAGTCGCAGACCATGGCCTGTATCTACATACAATTTTAATAAGACTCAACATTCTCTGATATCTCTGCGTTGTGTAGACAATGGAGTACGCAGGCTTACACAATAATTATAATTTCCGGAAAATATTCATTTGTGTGGCACATGCTTACAAGAAATGTATCAAGGTTTGAAAAACATCTAAGACGTTTCAACAAACGAGTCTCTATTATTCTGATGCATTGTATAAATATCATTATTGTGCACTTCGCATAATCAATACAGTTTTTGCTTTGAACTTGAACTAAGAATAATTTGCACATCCTGTTAACCAGGGGGGTCACGGTTAAAGGTTGAGGTCAATGATCTAGTGAAAACAACAGTATTGCAAATGCAATGATGAAATTCCAATTGTTATTTCAGTGATATGTTAGCACTCGGTCGCAGTGTTTCGTGGCCTGATGCCATGGAAGCCATTGCTGGCACTGACACAATGGAGTCGGGTCCGTTGTTGGCCTATTTCAAACCGTTGGATGAATGGCTTACTCAGCAACTCGATAACCTTGGATTATCGAATGAAGTCGGATGGGATCCGAAATGCTCGTGGAAACCATACCACGTGGATTCGAAGAACCAAAATCAGATGGAGGTCGGTGTATGATATTCACTGCTTTAATATGCTGACCAATAATAAGTACTTTCAGATGGACATCAAAAAACATCTTCAAAATAACAAACATTTCTCATGCCATTATTTATTTATTTGCATTATATTTCCTAATAGTTTTAAACAAAATGTCAGATTATAAACTTATTTCTTTTTCATACATTTACAAATTTTTAAATGTGATATTTCTTCAATGAGTCAACGCACGCTCGGTTATTATATTAACGTAGACGTGGCTGATTGGCTGCTTGTGAACCATTCTGATTTGCATCTTTCTTCTTCCTATATACACACTTACATTATCGTTTTGTGAGATTATTTAAGTGATGAATATATGACGTCATTATTCATTCATAAAAAATACGTCGTATCAATATAGTGGATGTCTGCGGGATGATTGGTTCCTGTCTTTCATCATTATTAAAATGGGACTTCTAGACCTGCCATGTTACTACAAAAATAAATTAACAAATAAATTATTAATTTAAGCAATTACCTAAATTACCTTAATTAATACTAAATTTATTTATATGTATGTTTCTTTATTTTACAGCTACGAGTGTCGTCGCATCTTTTGGGGTTGCTTTATTGGCCGCTGTGGTTTTATCGACTATTTTGTAAAAAGCGCCCTCAGCAACTATCGTACTCCGGACTATTTTACCAGTTTAGTTTATTCTACACAAGTTGAATACAACTACCCAGCAATGTCAGTCTAGTCAAATGAAAACAAAGACTTGTGGTTTGCAAATCATAATTCGAAATCATAATTAAACTAACTGTGTTTTAAAATTTTCACATTTTGCAGTTTTACAAATAAACAAATAAACGTACTACTTTGTTTGCTCATCATTAAATCTTGCAATCATTATCATATTTGACCTTACGATGCTCTACAATATCTTGGTTGGTTGGTTTGAGTATTGTTTATTCATATTTAAGAATATATTTTCGAGCACAAATTGTATTCAATATTACATCTTGAAAAAAACACTAGAATATTATTTTTCATAAATAATTTGTTTGTGCCAGTAAACATAGCGGTATTCGTTTGAAGAAAATATAATGCACATGCGTCCTGGACGGGTTTGGTGACAACTACATCGCTAATACAAAGCATAATTGTCACGGTTCGGACCACATATCCTCAGTTTCACGTATGTATGTTCCATATCTGCGAGCGTGGAATTTTCTAATAGTGGAGCCAAGACAGAAGGCAGAAAATCATGTCTGAGATTGAACGCGAACGTTGTTTCATTGTGTCGTAAATATTCTGAAACCCCATCAAATAGAACTGTATTGGCATAGCTGATTATTTTTGTCTTAGTTTATGTTTCATGTATTAGCATCATTATTTATATATTTCCCCAAAACTGTTATAACTATACATTGATTGATATAACTATAATAACTGAAACAGAAGATATTAATTTACCCGTGGATCACAAGGATGACTACTACAACTATTTTCCTGTATCAAAACGCTTATGGACGCTTGACCGTGACGTCATATCCGCTCCACGCTCGTTTATAATTTCAGCCTGCACTTAGAGATAAATTGGCAATCATTGTACTTATGCTATGGCAGCTTTACAGCTTTGTTTGTTTGTTTGTTTGTTTGTTTGTATGCGATAGTGTGCGTGCACTTGTGGGTATGGGGGCATACGCGCGTGTGTGGTAATTATAGTTATAGTTATAGCGCAATTAAGCCTTAATGCAGAAAGCAGAAGAAATCGGACAAGTAATACAACGAAAAAACACGATTTGTTACGAGAAAGCACGATGTGAATTCGTCTAGGTAATCGGCGATGATAATAAGCCCACCTTTTAGATGAACTCCACAGATATAACATCACATGTAGTGATAAAACACGTTGTAATTCGTTTGTGCCATCGCCACTGTCTCGAAATTGTTGAAAAGTGGTAATTTTTCACAAACATGTCTTCGCTCGGAATGTTTCGTTTACTTGCCGGTCTCTTAGTGGCGCTGTCCGCTGGTGCCGATGCATATTCCGAGGAGGAGGCCCAGGAGTATTTAGATAATTATAATCCTCGCGCCCAGTTTTTTATATCAGAATTTGCGCTGGCAGGGTGGGATTATTCAACTAATATAACTCATCACAATTTGGAAATTGTGGTAAGTAACGAAGATATTTAATACCCCATATTTTATTATGAATTATATGTTTTTTTTGTCAAATAGCTTATTACAATTGTTATTTCACTACATTCTTGTTTGTTCGAGAATTCAACTTTGAGTAACTCATTATTCACAAATACGTAATATAAAAATATAAATGACGTGTCAAAATGCCCTATGGTAATTCAAGTTTAAGCAACAAATGTCAAAAAAACCAAAAACATAGAAAAGTCTATTTGATCTCATTTGCATATTGGTGATAGGTCATACTATGTGATACCACGGCAATTGATAGAATAAACTTTGAGCTGTTGATTTGATTCGCATTGACCTGACGAGTGACGTCATAATCAAGCAAATTATAGAAATCCACACACATTGTAATTGTTAGAAGTCCATCTCCATGTCAAGAGTTGTGCCCAGATACTGTAACTATAGTAATTATTCACTTGTATTTAATTTCACAATTTTTGCTAATAATTAAATTTGCCAAATTAAATACATGCCAGTGTGAACATGTAGAATATTAATAGAACTGCCAGGTCCCTAAACTTAACAACCTAGTGAAATTGCTCGAAACATCAAAACAGTGAAAATAAATGGTTTTACGGTAATAGAGGCAGTGTAGAATTAATTTAACATCGTTCATCATTTCAATCGAGATGTTAAAGGACAAATTATAATTTTTAATAAAGATAATGGAACAGTCTTATTTATATCTTGCTACGTGTTTTTTTAAAAAAAACAAAAACAAAAACAAAAACAGTTGTTCAATTCAAAAATTATCTCTGCAAAATAAAAACGAAATGACAAATCGTCTTTTATTCGGCAATCGCAAACAGCATAGAATAGAGTTACTTTGCTCTGTTGGTTTGGCGCAATGGACAATTTCATTGGCGGAGTGTAGGTCACTGTTCGACATATGTTACTGGTAGTATGTTGACTTTAATGATTATAGGTATAGATGTGATAAAAGTTGAAGGATATACTCTCTGTATTGTTGCAACGTGTCCATGTACCGATATGCCGTGTCTCGTCACATAGCATTGTTGCTACCGTTCTAATCGATACATATATTTGTGTGGATGGAAGAATTATCTTTACTCTATCGCACCGGGTAGAAGTTCAGGATATATCATAAAGGTCAACGTACAAAGACAGTACATATTAATAATAATATATTCGTCGAAACAAATTATCGTCTACCTGAATATTGTTATCGTAATTATAATATGCAACTTACATATCGATATATCAATGTCGCGTGTAGTAAATTATATGTTCGTTATTTGTCTGTACTTTTATTATTTACATTTAGATATTTGTAACTGTTGGTGAGCATGCTTTTGGGAGCAATCTTAACTCTGTAGGTCAAACTGACTATGAATGCGTGGCTTTATATGTATGTCCGTGACGTCAGAAATTCAGCATACACCTGTAATCTAGTCGCTTAGACTGCATTTATTACGAGGCATTTGGACCGTAATTTTTGAGCTCGAAAATGTGTCTGCTTACAGCGTCTTGAGTGTGAATCATGTTTTTTTTGCGATTTATAAGTTCGTAATTTGCCTGTACTTATAATGAAAGTGCTCAAGCACACACATTGCTTAATTGTTTCTCATTGAAAGGATCTTGGACGCGTATTTTAATTTTCAGGAAGTTGAGGGTGAGGAGTATGCCGAATTTGCTGCAGTAGCAGCAGAAGAAGCAAATAAGTTCACACCATATCTTAATGATTATACGGAGCTCGTTGCTCGGGAACTAGAATTTATCACTGACATCGGGGATGCTATACTAGATGATGATGACTTCGCACACGTAAGTAAACAACGAGCATGGCATTGGAAATCATACGTCTCAGGTTACAGGTCGAAACAAATACGTTAAATTGTTGTAAATAGTAGCATATGGGAAATCCTTCTTATTTTGTCTTAGTTACAAGGTGTTCTTAATAACATGAGTTTATTGTACGCTACCGGAGAAGTATGTAAACCGGAAGACAGCACCGAATGCTATGCACAAGACCCATGTAAGGAAAAACATATTTTGTATAAGTTATTGTTTTGTTGTTTTTAGTTTGACGAACCATGTACTACTGGGTTATTTGGGTTGCATATATTACTTTTACGTGTTTACGTTTTAGTTTCTGTAGCCTGGACTCACCCGGCACGAGTCCATACACAAAATAAATACAGTTTCCGAACTAGTTGACCACGCAATTTCCACTGGGCTCGCGGAATTCGTAGTTGGTA